CCCCCCCCCCCCCCCCTTCCGAATACCTTCTGCAAAGTAGGAAAGAACGATTGGCCATCGGTCATCGGTCCTGTGGGAACAATGCTCCGTCCTATCGAGAGGACGCGTGGTCAGTAGTCTGGCAACAAAGGCATGCAAAACATGAGTACCCAACACTGCCCATTTTTTCTCTGTTCTTTGTAGTATGACGTGGAGGTTTACCAGCGCATGGAGGCGTTGATCGGGCAGAAGCTCCCGCCGTACGTGTGCGACGAGGAGACGGTCCTGGTGCTGCAGGAGCGCGTGGGGGAGGCGCAGAGGATGGCGGCAAGGGAGATGCGCGAGGCGGACTTCAACAAGTACGTATTGTATTAGTAGTATAGTTCGGGTCCCTCAATAGTGCCGGTATGTGTGCCCGCCAGTTTCACCAGCACTTCATCGGGCACCCGGCACTGCTGTTCAGAGAAGGAGACAACCTGAGTACCGTATACGACACAAGATAACACACCCCCTGGACCGATTTCCAAAGCCCGATTTCTCATGAGCAGAAAGAGTCACAGCGCCGAAGACGGCGGCGTTGAAGCTGTCTCGTCGAGCGCTTTCCGAGAACGTTTCGTTTCGTTTATGCATCCTCTTTGTCGTGGCGTATTTTAGCTTTGAAATTCGGTCCAGGGTTTGTGTTATCTTGTGTCATATACGGTAGAAAGATTCCATCCGTGTCGCGCTATGTCACCGATGGCGCTTTAGTTGGCAGTGGTGCTATTCAATCGGCACTATTGAGGGACCACCTCTGTGTCATCCCCCCCGTGGTTCCACCGACGAAAACGGCCAATAGAATGAACGTTGTATGTGCATCTGTTTTGTTGTGCTTGTGCTCCGTCTTTGTTGACACAGCGAAAGAAACAAAGAAAGCACTTGGTGGATGGTAGATTGTTGTGGTTGCTTCGGTTGTGGTGGTGGTTGTTGGTCTTGATGTTACATCATTGCCCTCCTTCCCATCATAGACTACTTCTTTAGGTCTCAGAAATTGCTCGTGGTTAAAGGTCAAGGTTGTAGAGGACGAATGGAAGGGGCTCGACATCGACGGAGATGAAACGCTGGAAACGGAGAGTCTACAGGGGTTCAAGGAGAACATATCTGTTGCTTGTGCCGAGAGAGAAGAACAGAATCTAAGGAAAGAATCCAAGGATAAGGAGGGTCTGGGAGGGTACGGAATGTTGAAGGAAGGAGTAGGGTTCAAGGACTACCTACATGGACCAATGGATGCAGTAACAAAGCTTCAAGGTCAAATTCAGGACCGGGGACATCGGCCTTCGAGAACGTCGACGAAGGCATAGGACGGTAGACGACGAAGACGACGAGTTCAAATGTGATTGCGGCTTCGAATGCGAAGACCGTGTTCATGTAGTCGCGGAATGTCCGTTGTACAAGAAGGAGAGGGAAGTGTACGTGACTGAGCTGGGAAAAATAGATGGAACGTACAGGGAGATGTTTGAGGCATGGAATAG